AATTTAAAAACGCAAGTAAAATTATATTGCACAAAATTTAAAAATGAAAGAAGTTTTCAGAATAGCAAACAATGGTCACGGATCAAAAAATAATGAGTGTAAATCAAAAATGTAATAACGCATTTAAAAAAAAATAAGCACGAATCAAAACTTTAAACACATTTAAAATCATATTGCACAACACTGAAATATTAATGCAAAATTATCCGAATTGCACACAAAATCATGTTTTCTTTGATTATATTTCTCTGTTTTTTGTGCTCTCAGACATTTTCTGTACATATTTTTATTTTTTGTATGCTTATGTTGTTTTTACCTTTGCTCTTTATTCCACGTTCTGCGCTTCTTCTTCCAAATGTTGCGGTTAGAGTTTCATGTAAATCAGAGAGGGCTAAAACATCATCATTGGTCCACTAGTTCTAGATTGACAGCTCCTCCTCAGCCAATCAGTCGAAGAGGGGCGGTGACGTCACTCTAACGCGCCTCATTACTGCCGATGCTCCGTGTTCTGTTCACTTGTACAGGTGAAAATGGACAACTGTCAGCTGGGAAACATCTTTCCATACAGGACACCGTTATATGTGTCTGTCTGTCACTGCTGTACGCCTACAAGACTTATAATCAGTCAGGTAAAGGCGAGCCAAGCACATCAGTCACTTCGCGAGGCTGGTGCATTTAGTGGCTGATCCCTTTTGCGATGTGACCGGAGGCGAATAAATACAGGTGAATATAACCACGACTGGTCGCTAGAACGGCTCATTTAATGTTAACGGATCGCCAGGTAGGCGTACAGCAGTGACAGACAGACACATATAACGGTGTCCTGTATGGAAAGATGTTTCCCAGCTGACAGTTGTCCATTTTCACCTGTACAAGTGAACAGAACACTGAGCATCAGAAGTAATGAGGTGACGTCACCGCCCCTCTTCATCTGATTAGCTGAGGAGGAGCTGTCAATCTAGAACTAGTGGACCAATGATGATGTTTTAGCCCTCACTGATTTACATGAAACTCTAACTGCAACATTTGGAAGAAGAAGCGCAGAACGTGGAATAAAGAGCATACAAAAAAACAGCATAAGCATACAAAAACTAAAAATATGTGCAGAAAATGTCTGAGAGCACAAAAAACAGAGAAATATAACCAAGGAAAACATAATTTTGTGTGCAATTCGGATAATTTTGCATTAATATTACAGTTTTGTGCAATATGATTTTAAATGTGTTTAAAGTTTTGATTCTTACTTATTATTTTTTTTAATGCGTTATTACATTTTTGATTGACGCTTATTATTTTTTGATCCGTGACCATTGTTTGCTATTCTGAAAACTTTGCTTTCATTTTAAAATTTTGTGCAATATAATTGTACTTGCGTTTTAAAATTTTGGTTTTACGCTTGTTATTTTTTTTTATCCGTGACTGCAATACATTTGGCAGGAAAATTATCCCATAGTGATTTGGCCCACTGCCAATTTACCCAATACTAGTTTGACACACCGGGTTGCCAGTTGGTGGAAAACACAGCGTATTGCAGCTGTGGAAGCCAGCAAATCAGCAGGTGTGTCTGAGCAAATGATGTCACTCTGACTGCACAACCATGGCTTTGAAGTAGAGGTCTACACGAAGGACCCGAGACCCGGGACCCGGGACCCGGGACCCGACCCGGGATCCATACGGGTTCGGGGCTATATTTTAAATGGTCAGCCGGGTCCGGGTCCGGGTCGGGTCCCAATCTATTACTTCGGGTCCCGGGTCTGTTTAACATTGTGTGTAATACCCGAGTCGATCGGACTCTGAACACCCGGCCGTTATCAGAGTCAGTCAGCGCTGTGTGTGTGTTGTTTTGTAACTTTCAACTTGTAAAATTAGGATGAGAAAAGTGTGAGTCGGTAATTTGAAATAAGGTGCGGGGAAAACAAACAAACACGAGCGACGTCATCAGAAGCAGGGTGGGCGGAGTTAATGCACACGCACGGTGATAATGGATACCTTCATGAGTGATGTGAGTTATTATTGATTATTTTTTAAAATAATATTATGAATGAACCGTCTTGTTGTTATAGCTAAAATTTTTGCTCAGACTCGGCTCAGAGAGCACAGAGATGATAGCAAATAACTATCACATGACTAGCTAAGAGCAAAGCATTGTGACAGATTTGTAATCTGCATTCGCTTTTTTTTTGTTGTTGTTGTTGTTGTTAAATCATCCTCAAATCTGAAACATAATTTCTTTACACCTATTTACACTTGTGGCATTGTATTTATAGGTGTCATAGGCACGTTTATTATTATTATTTTTAATGATAAAAAGATGTTATTCAAAAATCCATTCCACAATACTTCTGTTTCTGTAACTTCCAAATTTTTTTATTTGTAAAAATTCTGAAAACTCTGTAAATAAAGCTCCAAGTGTCTTTTCAAAAGATGCCACAATTGTGCACATATTCCAAAAGATAAGTAAAAGACTACCATTTGAGCTGAGGTATGAAATTTCATGATTTGAGCTCAAAACAGGGGTGCAATTTACTGTAGGTGGATAATTCTAACTATAGCTAGCAGATAGCTTGGCAAGCCCCTTACTGCCCTAGTAAAAAAGTAATATTTAAAATAAATATTTCATGCTAAGTATAGTTCAAATCTATAAACATATTTATTTACTGACAGATAAAGGGTGGGGGGGAGGGGGCGCTAATGTCTATCAGCCATTGGCGATGGACGATGACATTGTCTATCGACCCAACCTTATTTACTTGGCATATTACTTGTGCACAATGCACTTTTCTTAATATAAAACTAAAATGTGTTTTAATAATGTTACATTTTTATGAGGATTGTATGATCTCTGAATAATATCAGACTTTAAATGGAAAATATTTATAATGCGCAGCTGCTCATCAGGAAATTGTCTCTGTGCTGGTTGCTAGTATATAAAGCAAATCACTGCAAATTGTAAATTATGTTATTTCACAGTTTTATATTTTTGTTTATATCATCACAAAATGTAAACTATATTATTGCAGTTGGCCTCATGCAGGCTCTGAGCCTGAATGGTCCCGTGGACCAAGACAGCACAGGGTTTGCACTTTATACAGATACAGAGAGATCCTACAGATCCTAATCACTTTTCCATTGCGCTGCAACCAGTAAGATTCACGCTTTTGGCCACATGCCTGGAGCCGCTGCTGTCTCTTGCTGTAGGCTGGTACTGATATAAGGCTTGATGATCACAGCAGCATTGGTGCGTCAGGGGTCGCTAGAGCCTGACGGGTCCCTCTGAGTGATTGTTTATCATGCAGCTCAGGTCAGGAACTGACACAGCATTATTATGTCACTGATTCATTGAGTTGCAGTTAAACGTATTCAGCACCTCTGAGACACAAACACTGACACACAGCACAAACTCGCATCATTACTTAAGTACTCTACTGTTACCAGATGGTAATGCATTGGTATATAATGATTAAAATATTCATGTGACATATTTATGCATGAATGCTTTTCATGAAGATTTTGTTTAAAAATAAATAAAAATTAAAGTAATTCTGATGCCACTGTATGATCGATCATAGGCTCTGGCTAAGAGAGTGAGATGTGTTTGTGCCGCATAATGCTTCAATGCAGAATTCCTCCCTGAAGACCTTCACTCCAGAAACCTGATGTTGTGTGGGTTGAACTGTACCCACAAAATGTTTACACTGAGCAAAACAAATACGAATATTTAGAGTAAAAACTGATACATGGGATTGAGTTTCTCACATTTTTGAGAAATCTGTTTATATTTTGGGCAGTGACATCAAGAGAAGTGAAAGGTGTGTTGAACAGAATTTACACTGAGACACCAGTATAGATAAATTACTTAAAACATGTTACTGGTCTTACTGTGCAAGGTTAATCAGTTTGTATTGTAAGCCATGGAATAAAAATTAAAAAAAGGTAAATTTGAGTTTATATTTAAAAATTCTGACTTTATTATCGCAATTCCAAGATTATATCTCACAACTGGTCATTCTCTCTTTTCCCCTTTGGCTTAGAATCATGAGTTTATATCCCACACTTCTGTTTTTTTTCCCCACAGAATTGACAAACATGCTGTTGTTTAGTTAAATTGAGTTATAAAGTCCGAACTAGGAGATATAAACCTGCATTTGTGATATTGCAAGATAAAATAGGTAAATGTTATGTAAAATGTTATAGGTTTAAATAGTATTTCATACTGTAACTGTGTAGGGCTAATGCAATATGTCCCCTATGAACTGCATATGTGAATATTTTGTAGACCTATTGTTTAAATCAAATTTATGCTTTAAAAAGAGAATAATCATAGCAGGTTTCATCCATAGTCTGCCTGTTTAAGCATCAAATGGCGTCTTTTATGACAGTAGCCCATTCTATAAAAATTATTTGCATTCTGATTCTGACATCTAAAGGCACAAAAATACTTTTTTCCCCCTTTTATTCCATGGATTTTACCCATTTCCCTTCACTTGTTACCAGTATTTTTTCTGCCACCACTATGCGCGTGCAGCTACAAGTGGTGTAACTGTGACGTCTACTCCAAATTGTTCTATATCTGCATTTGATAGTGGATTTTGTGAATCCATAACACGCCAGACCTGCAAAACAGATCCCAAAGTGCAGTTGTGTTGTGTTGACAAATTTATATTTTGTAAAATTGTCCCCCAACCCCTTGGCATTCCCCCAACCACTCGCAACCCCTTGGTTCACATAGACTAAATGACATATTTTGGCTTCAAAAAGTGTTTACCTACGTATAATAATGTTGTACTCACAATAATCATGGAGCTTAATTATAAAATGTAAAAATATATAGTTTATGTCTTTTGGAAGTTGCATTTAAAATCCATTTGGCTAAAAAATCTTACAGGCCATTGCCCCCTCCTTTTTATATTGGAACGAGGCCTCAGGGAATATGCTTTAGTATGATGGAAATTGTCATCTGTAAAATGACTGCATATTTCCATTAGATTACGTCAGTAAAATATATTCACATATGATACATCTTTGTTGCTACAGTGTATATATCAGGGTTGTTTAATTAAGGTTACAATAGGTCCAGTCTCTATTTCATATCCCAGTGGAGGTCTGGACAGTACTTTTTTCGAATAATTGTACATTTCCATATGAACAGCAGTAGTACTTTGGGGCCAAAGCAGTGTGGTATCTGAGAATGTTTCTCTTAAATATTTAATCAGTTCAGCCAAAGTGGGTATTTAAATATAAGATCAGAAGTGTCAGACTATTAGCCTATTGTTTTTGACAGATATCTACAGACACTATTGGAAGAGAGCTGAACTGGATGATGACATCACTGTTTATCAATATTGTGATATCGCGATAGCAAAACTGTCTCGATATTATCATGGTCGCATGATGATATGAAGCATCTCGGTTATGTATGTAACCCTCGTTCCCTGAAGGAGGGAACGTAGATGTCACGTCGATGACCGACAAAATTGGGGATCCCTACCAAAGCGCCACAGATGTTGCCCCTTCCAGTTTCCTGTGCGAGCCCCCTTCACCCCTTTTAGGTGTAGGCCGGGGCTCACAACAAGAAGACCAGTCACTGTTGTCGTAGCACTACCCACTCAGTGAGATTGGATAACACTGGGAAAACGTACCCATACCAGTTGGAGCAGGAACGCTGCAGAAGCCCCATACTTCCCGAAGAAGGTTTCGGAAGCACTTACACATATGAACAACCGTTTAGGTGCATATGGAAGATTAGAGGTGATTATAACCCTCTATCATCAATGAACTGACTTTAGCTGGAAAATGTTATTGTCCTCTTGCATTATTGACAAAGTATTTTCCTGTTGACACTGTAAAGCTGCTTTGACACAATCAGTATTGTATAAAGCGCTATATAAATGAAGGTGACTTGACTTGACTTAAAGAGTTTACAGTATTATAGAAACAGTTCAGTTACGTACATCAGCTATAGTCACTTTCAAATTGGGCTTTTGTTTTGTCACCTGATCCACAGTCTCTGTCATTTTCACCACGTTCTAGGTATGTATAGCACATAAGGCTTACTGAAAAAATATGGGGGTTCAGGGTTGTCCCCTTAAGAGAAAATTAAAAAAATGTAATCTGAGAAGACCACACACATATATATATATATATATATATACAGTATATATATATATATATATATATATAACACTGGGAAAACGTACCCGTTCCACTTGGAACAGGAACGTTGCGGAAGCCCCATCCTTCCCGAAGGAGGTTTCAGAACACGTACGCATATAGATAACTGTTTAGGTGCATATGGAAGATTTAGAGGTGGTTATAACCCTCTTAAGGAATGGCAGAGAAGTCTGCCGGGGAAACACTGGCTTTAAGCTATACCGTGGAGAATACACATATGGGATCCACTTAGGTCACTACATATGGCACCCAGCCCTTTACTGGCTCTCATGGATTCATCGAGTGAGGACCTGGGGCCAGATGCTCTGCCACATCTGGCTGCTGAGGGTGATGGAGGAGCTCGACAGGGTCTACAATATGGACACTCTGGAGCAGTTTAGGAAGCCGACACTAAGCCGGGGCCTCTCGGTGCCTCTATCCGTTTGAGGTGAGAACACAGGAGCTATAGAATCTAACAAATGTGTTGGGGGTCGCCCAGCCCCAGCTCTATAAATATCTGTCAGCGAAGCGTCATGTGCCAGTGCCCAGTAGGATGCAACACTCCTAGTAGAGTGAGCTAGCAACCAGCGGGCAGGGCACACCCTGCGCCTGATAATCAAGGGTGATGGCATCCACTATCCAGTGGGCCATCCGCTGCTTGGCTACGGCATTCCTCTTCTGCCAGCCTCCATAACAGACAAAGAGCTGATCTGAGGTTCTGAAGCTTTGTGTCTGGTCCACGTACCAAGGCACGGATGGGACAGAGCAAAGCTAGGGCTGGGTCTGCCTCCTCTGGGGGCCGCGCTTGCAGGTTCACTCCCTGAGACCGAAAATGCGTGCAGGTCCCCTACCCTCTTGATGGAGGCCAATGCAGCCAGTGCTCTAAGCACCAGACTCAGGACCTAAGAGGGTATAGAGGGAGGCAGAGGAGGATTCAACCTTCTTGCCCCCCTAAGGAACCCGATGACCAGGTCATGCTTCCCTACTGACTTCCCTTCCACGGGATTAGCAGCAATCACAGCAACAAAGAGTTTAAGGGTGGAGGGAGACAGCCTTCGCTCCAACTTTTGCTGCAAAAAGGAAAGCACAACTCTGATCGGGCATCTCCGGGGCATTCTCGGTGAGAAGAACACCACTCGACAAATAGGTTCCACTTCAAGATGTAAGCGTGTCTCGTAGACGGTGCTCGCGCCGAAGTAATGGTGTCTGCTACCTCTTGGGGTTGGTCACCTAGAACCTCCGCGTCCCGTCAGGGGACCAGACATGGAGGTTTCCAGAGGTCTGTGCCACAGGTTGCCCTGTCTCTGAGTCAGTAGATCCTTCCCCAGGTTTGGTTGGGCCAATAGGGTGCAACGAGCAAGACCTGCTCCTCGTCCTCCTTGACTTTGCACAGTGTCTGTGCGAGAAGGCTCACTGGAGGAAATGCATATTTGCGCAGGCCCCGCGGCCAGCTGTGTGCCAATGCATCCGTGCCGAGTGTTCCCTCGGTCAGGGAGTAGAAGAACAGGCAGTGAGAGGTTTCTGGAGAGGCAAACAGGTCTACCTGAGCGGCTCAGAAACGTCTCCAAATTAGCTGGACCGTCTGGGGATGGAGTCTCCATTCTCATGGGAGCGCAGCTCGTGACAGCTCGTCGGCCGTACAGTTGAGCAGGCCCGGAATGTGAACAGCACGAAGTGACCTCAGAAACTGTCAACTCCAAAGGAGGAGGTGGCGGGCAAGTTGCGCCATGCGACGGAAGAGCAGGCCACCTGCTCCAGGGGCACTCCTGCCCAAAGAAATGCAAGGTCTGACCATGAGGTGAAGGTTTGGCGGCAGGCCGGTGTAACTTGGACCCGGTGAGTACCATGCTGCCACGCCCACCTCGGGACTCGGCCATGAAACCAGTGCTGAAGCGGTCTCATATGTAGTAGCCCCAGCGGTGTAACTGCCGCTGCAACTGCCATATGCCGCAGGAGGCTCTGAAATTGTTTCAGTGGGACCGCTGTTCTGCCCTTGAATGAATTCAAGCAGTTCAGCACTGACCGTGCACGTTCCTCTGTGAGGCGTGCTGTCTGTTCGACTGAATCCAACTCCATACCAAGAAAAGCTCTTTTCCCAGTTGACCCGAAGACCCAACTGGCTGAGGTGCCGGAGCACCAGGTCCTTGTGCTCGCACAACTGATTCTGAGACTGTGCTAGTATAAGCCATTCGTCGAGATAGCTGAGGATGCGAACACCTTGCTCTCTGAGGGGACCAAGAGCCCCTTCCGCAACTTTCATGAAGATATGGGGGGACAGGGACAGCCTG